GGGGCAAGGAAGGTACAAGGTAGGATGGGGCCGAGGGCCCAGGTTTTTAAAAACAGACAGGTGTGTTTTTAATTCCTTTATAGATGCTGCTATGTTTTTATTGGGACAGAAATCCCTACACATAGCATGAGATATATTGTCTTAATATTTTTTTAGTACACAATGCATTGCCAATGATAAGCACAATGGTGTACAGTGGGCCTCTAGAATTTGAACCATATGTGACAAAATCTAAATCCATTGGACAGCAGCTTCTCATTCCCTCCTCCCTGAGCCCTTGGAACCCACCATTCTGTCCATTTCCATTTCCTGTGAGTTTGACTACTGGAGATACCTCATCCAAGTGGGGCCATGTAGTGCTTGTCTTTCAATGACTGGCTTATTCACTTAGCACAGTGTTCTCAAAGTTCACCCATGTTTTCCCACAGGACAGGACTTCTGTGTGGTGATATTGTGTTCCCCAAAATAAATTGTGCACCATAATAAACTTATCTGGGGTCAGACAACAGAACAGCCACTAGATATAGAGGTCAGAAAATGGTGGCAGTCACACCTTTAATCCTAGCATTCCGAAGACAGAGATCCATCTGGATCTCTGTAAGTTCAAGGCCATACTGGAAACAGCCAGGCATGGTGACTCATGCCTTTAATCCCAGGAAGTGATGACAGGAAGCAGAAAGGTATATAAGGCATGAAAACCAGGAACTAGGCTGGTTAAGCTTTTAGGTTTTTGAGCAGCACAGCTCAGCTGAGATTCATTCTGGATGAGGACTCAGAGGCATCCAGTCTGAGGAAACAGGATCAGCTGAGGAATTGGCAAGGTGAGGTAGCTGTGGCTTGTTCTGCTTCTCTGATCTTATAGCATTCACCCCAATACCTGGTTTCAGGTTTCATTTTATTAATGAGGCCTTTTAAGATTCATGCTACACTTCTGTCTCTTGTTAAGGCTGAACAATAGTCCATTTCAGCATCATTCCCAAGAGCCAGGCTGTAGATGCTACCCACACACCCGTCAGTGTAAGAACGGACAGAAAGCTTGTGGTATTTATGTTTCCTCGGGAGCTGTTGAACTCTGCCCAGGTGGCATGTCCCACTTTGCATTCCTGCTGTGGGTTCCCTTTGCAGACAGACTCCCAAGATGTCTCAAGGCTTCTTCCAGGATCATCGAAATGTTTGGCATTTATAGCAGGTTCCCTGCGAGATGTTGCTGGGGAGACAATACTCTGAGCAGGCTGCAGAGTGAGAATACCATTTATAACACAAGTCAGAAAGCAGCGAACGACACTGAAGAGGAAAAGATGAAGTTCAAAGCAATCTGACTCAGCCAATATCTTCTGTCCTATCTGTGCCAAGTGTGGTACAAGGACCTGAGAACACAAGGACAGTATGGTCCTTGCCTCCTGGATTTTATTTAACTCTGTTAACTTCCCAAGAGTCAACAGGTTCCAGGAGAGTTGCTTCAATGCCTGAGAGACACCTAGACATGTGAAAATGGGTGCAGAGTAGGAAATACAGAAGCAAGCCATGCATCCAAAGAGGAAGGAGGTAGGAAGAAATCTTCTAAGTCCTGCAGGAACTTGGTAACACAACACCAGCAACATGCCGAGTGCCCAGGGATAGTTCAGCTATCGTGCATGTGACCGGAGCCCTAGAAATAGGGGCTGTATTGGAGTGGTCAAAGAGGGCTTCATGGGGGAGGCAAGAGCTCAGCTGGGAACCACAGAGGGGAGAGGGTTTTGAAGAGGTAGAAAAGAGAAGAGAAGTTCATACTATTACGAACAAAAGCTGAAATACACAGAGGGTAGAGAACAAGGAGAAGACCCAGTTGGCCTGAACAAGGGTTTTAGGCTAGAGAGTCAATACCCTGCCTGGTTATTTGGGCTTGAACACTAGGAATCTTGGTCTTCATTCTCTGTGTGATGGGGAGCCACTGGAAATGGATTTGTGTCAGAAGGAATCTAATCAGGATGGTGTGTTTCAAAGAGGCCTCTGACAGGATGAGTAGGCTGGGCTGAGGCAGAACAGTGAGTGACAGTCTAGGGGGCTGGGTGTGTGGCTGGGGTCCTCAAGTGGCTAGCTGTAGGGCTGGGTATGGGAGACAACAGGAATGATAAACCCACAGGCCCCAGGATACTGCCATCAAAGGGGACATCATTGCTGACCAGACAGCTTCCAGGGGAGGATTCTGCGGGACAGAACGCTCCAAAGCTTGGCTTTCAGCAGCTGGCAGCTCCCACCCAGCAGGAATCACAGGAGCTGGTACCTCTGGAGCCACTGTGTTTCCCACGGGACTCAGCTCACCTGTGCACCAGCTGCATCAAGTAGATCCCTACAGGGCTCCTGCAGCAGAGTTCGAGTTCCTCCACCTCAGAGGCCCCGGGGAGTCAGAGGGGAGTAGAGTCTTTTAGGCGCATCCAAGAGAGACACCAACCTCCTCCCTCAAAGTGACACTTCATCGCTCCCACCTACCCATCTGCCTCCTGCCTCCACCCTAGGGGTGTTCACCTCGGCCAGGTCCAAGTTCAGGCTCAAGGAGGCGGGGAGATGCAAACAGCCTGAAAAGCCCTGCCCAGAGTGGTGGCCTGTCCATTCATCTCTGCCAGCATTCGACAGTGGGAGCCCTAAGGAGGGGTCCCCTGTGATGGATGATGTTTCCAGAGCTTATTAACTGAGCTAGACTGGGTCTCTTCCAGCTGATCTATGATCCAGGGACAGTTTTAAAGTATGTGGCTTTCCAGACCTGCATTATCGAAAGGAGTTAAAATTGAAGTCGTCACTCAAGCCACTACCATCTGTCACGCGCTGCCGTCTATGCCAACGCAGGGCCAGATGGGAAGGTAGGTAATGAGCCTTACTCCCATGTCACATCTTAGAACATTAAGAATTTCTGTTGTCCTCCTTGCCCCCCCCCCCCGGGGTATGTGCAGTGGATGGTTCATCCCTGGCAAAGATGGGGTAGAGCCTGGCAAGGTGCAGGAGTGGGCACCTCAAGCCAGCTTTCTGTAAAGCAGTTTCTCATCTGGGCGTCACTGCGGCGCGTTCTGACAGATCATGTGGTATCCATGAGGCAGTCCTGGTTAGCATTTACCGAGAATCTGTTCTTCACCAATGCCTGGATGCTGTCCTTGAATCCCAGGAACCCTGTCATGTGGGTACTATAACTAATATCTTGCGAAGGAGGAACCCAGGGCATAGAGCTGGGGTAAGAGGATACATGTAGGCCACACTGCAGGAAGACACAGTGCACGCACGTGCGCGTGTGCACACAAACACACACACACACACACACACACACACACACACACACACACACACACACACACAAGAGAAGAAAGGAGAGAAGAGACAAGACGAGACGAGACAAGAGTGACTTCTTTCACTGGTCCTCTCCCTCAGGGCTCCAGAAGGCTATCACCTCCCATGCCCAGCTCTGCAGCTTACACACAGCCTCTGCCCCTCTCCCTCCTCTCCCTCCTCTCCCTTCCCTTTCTCCTCTCCCTCCCCTCTACCACACTTCATTCCTGGCCACAGATTTAGCTCTGTGTGTGTTTGTTAAATTTCTGCCTTCCCTACTGGACTGGTACCTCAAACGGTCAGCAGCAGCACACATAGGGCTCACAAAGGTGCAGCCAGACAGCCCAGTTGAACAGAGGTCCCATTGCCACGCCCTGCTCCCTTCTGCCCAGCACAGGGCACGGAGTGAGGAGCAGCAGGTGGGTGGTAGGAGCTGAAGATCCTGGACCCAGGGTGATCCATGGGCAACTCTGTAGCTCATTGTCATTAACAACTGCCCATCCCCTCCAGGCCCCCAGGGGACAGACCCAAGCAATTACAGGCCTCTATGTCACCACACACACACACACACACACACACACACACACACACACACACACTCCAGACACTCCAGCAGAAGCAGGGAATATTAACCAGGGATTAGCACAGTGGGTTGCTCATCTCCACACCAGGCAGAGACCCTGTGATGAGGGGAGGGAGACTCAGGAGCCCACAGGGAACAAAGACCAGGCTGACCACTGGTCACCAACAGTTTGTGCAGGTCAAGTGGCCTTCTGAGGCCACTGTCATGGTTTCTGACACAGGCAGTGCCCTGGGGTGGAGACTGGGTGGCTTTAAGCCCTGAATAAGCTCCATTAGTTGCTCACATCGAAGTGCTAATGTGTGCTCCCTGGTGCTGGCAACTGACACCCACCCCTCAATCTTAGTTGAAGCTGGTGAATACGAGCATTTCTGTGTTTCTTCCTCAGATCCCTTTTGTCTATTTATGACAATCTGTGTTTACAACAGCTGTGTTACCTGGGATGCCAATGCAGCTTTGGGGCAAGATGCGGAGCCCAGCCCTCCCTACCCGCCCCAACCCTCCCCACTCCACTCCCAGCTCGCCCTGCCCGTCTCAGCCTAACCGAGGGGAAGCTGTTCTGGCTCCTCCATTCACTGTGTCCCCGGCTGGTGAAGGACCAGCCAGTACCCCTAGGTACTCACTCTTTGAGGGCAAATGTTCTAGCCACCAGTGACCCTGCCCTCGACATGACAAGAGTCTCATACCTTGTCCCCCTTCCCTCTGATTCCACCATCCCCCCAGTTCCTTCTGCTTCCCCTGCTCTGGTCTCTCTGTTTCCTCTCTCTCTTTCTGCCTCATCTGTTCCCATTCTCTCTCTCACCTCTGCTCCCAAGCCTTCCTCCCAACTCCCTGCTCTATTTGGTTCAGAGATAACTAGTTAGAATGATGAACTGGTTTTGTTTTTTGTTTTTGGGTTTTTTTTTTTTTTTTTTGAAGCCCAACCGCAAGCCGTTGATTGAAATCTTTCATCTAATTAGTTTTAAGCTAATTTTCAAAACAAAAAAATGATAGAAAACATTGCCAAAAAAAGCCAAGTAGAACAAGTTAAGATAAATTGTAAATGTTTTAAAGGGGGGGAAGGACCCCAAATTGAACGTTTTTCAAATCTTTAGAGCTTCTTTCATAGCTTTGTTTTATTTTTTTATCTAGTAATTTTACCGTCTAAATGAACATTACAGAAAGTACATGGGCAAAAATGAGGAACCCACCCACTCACAGCTACTCCGAGCACCTTGAGATCCACTCTTCCAGATTCTTCTCTGTGTATATGTGTGCATTTTATGACTTCCCAAAGAAAGTTCCAGCACGTCAGTCCCTTGAGCTGTAAAACAAGAACACGAAAGAACTTCGGTCCCTCGAGCTGTAAATTAAGAATGCTAATAGCAACAGAAACCTGGTCACATTTTTCAAATTATTATATAGTCCTCATCTTCCTGAGGCTTCAGATATCCATGGTAATGAATATTTATTGTAATATTCATTGTAAATGAATTTACAGCCTTGGAGAGATCGTCAGTTAAGAAACCTGATAACTTTGTTGTTCCTTGGAATAACTGATTCCAAAGCTGTCTGTTCACCTGTCAGGTACTAATGTCCAGAATCATGTTTCTGGAAAAAAAAAAAAACAATTTGCTGAATGCTGAGGGATAAATATCTTTGTCTGTACCTACAGATTTTGTTTACAAAAATGGAATCATCTCAACTATGCTGTCTTGTGACTCTGGTTTCCTCTAATCCCTAGTACTGGATATTTGAAAATGTCCCAATCTTTGCTACCTTTTATATTATCATAACTAGCGAAGACAGGAGCAAGAGGTAGAAGGTGAAGTAGACATTCAAAAACATAAAAGGATGTGGTGGTGGCAGCACGTATCTGTGATCCCAGCACTCGAGAAGCTGAGGTAAGAGGATAGAAAATTTGAGGCTAGTCTGGGCTGAATAAGAAGACCTTATTTCAAGAAAGAAAAAAGGAAGGGAGGGAGGGAGAGAGGGAGAGAGTAAGGGAGGGAGGGAAAGGGAAGGAGAGGGAAGGGAAGGGGAAGGGAAAGGGCACAAAAAAAATTCTGAAAAATAATAATGTTTAAAACCAAATAAAGCTTACAAAAACTATCCCACGGTTCATAAAAATTTATGATCCAAGACAAAAAGAATATCCATTTTGTTTAACAAATATATTTGGAGTGCCCACAATGCACTTGGTTCTACATGAGGTTCAGGGGCACACTAAGTATGAAAGAGAAATCCCTGTTCCCACAGTCCTGACAGGCAGGGAGGAAGCTGTGATAAACTGATTCGATGGGGGAGGGGAAGGAGGACCGAGGGACTGGCTGGTGGGACAAGCTGAGGTGATGCTGCTCACTGATAGCATTTGGGGCAGGAGAGAAGGAGTGGTCCAGACAGGAAGGGCAGGAGCAGAGGCCCTACATGGCAGCCAGGCCCATGCTGTCCCCAACCCCTCCTAAAATCCAGGATCCCTAGAAGGAGGATGGGGAGGAGCTGGTTTGGACCTGCTGCTGTCTGGGAGGGTGTCAGGGTGAGCCTGCTCTTGAGCATCTGTTGTCGGGGCGGGGGAGGCATAAAGGGACACAGCTATTGCATTCCATCCTGTTAATGGAGCCAAAAATAGTGATATTTGACTGATCATTGTTTCAAACCAGACTTTTACTGTTATTATCTTTGACTGAATTCCTTCTTGTGTCTCCCCAGCCCATTACTCCTTTCTTCCCTCCAAAGGCCAAGAATGCTGATTGGTGTGGATGTCACTCCATTAACACTAAATAGCTCTGTGGGCATGGGCTCCATGCTGATGGACCGTGTTGGAAGCCCTTGGCCCCCAGATGAAACAGCGTAGAGACTGCACAGTAGAAGGGTGGGTACCAAGAGGAACAGACTGACCAGGAAGCAAGACGAAGCCAGGAGGAGGGGAGAAAGATCAGGCTGAGGCTGGATGCTGGGTCCACGTGGGCCAGGAGGAGAGACTGGGCCAAATGCAGGTGACCCAGAGGCTGAGAAGAACGGCAGCTCCAGGAACCACTGAGCTGCTGCCCTCGGTCCTTCCTCTACCGTCCCAGCCCCCAGCAACCTCCTTCAGGGAAGGGGAGACCTGGGGCCTGGGGTGGGAGAGCTGGTGTGCAGGAAGCCAAGCTCTACAGACGCTGGGGAAGGATTCAGTGGCACCGTAAGACCATCTGCAAATGGGAAGTCTAAAGAGCCCAGGGATCTTCCTTCATCAAAGCCAACATGAGGAGCGGACTAAGGCTTCATGCCAGGCCTAGGCTGCCTGGGTTCATACCCTGGTGTTATGTTCACATCCTGGTTCATCTCCTTCAAAACTGTGTGACCTTAGGCCGGTTTCCTCAGCTCTCTGTGTGCCATCTCCTCTTTAAACAGGGCACAGTAGTTGTTGCATGGCTCAAATACAACCAAGCACCAAGTACTCAAGAGGCATGCAAGGCACGTCATGATACCAGCAGCTGAAGACGGGGAGACACATGGCTCTCCCCAACTGTGGAGCCTCATCTTTTTCCAAACGTGAGAGCGCCGGGGAGATCTGGATGCCCCTCCTCTGTCAGCTCTCTCGTACTCTCTACTGGCACCAGCACCAAGGCCAGCTTCCAGGAGGACCCTGCGGACGTGCTGGTCTTGAGCCCCTGCCCAAAGAGTCCTGCCCCTGATGCCGAAGCCCTCTGGTCCTAAGCTGCCTGTGCCCCTCCATCACACAGGATAATCCCCTCTTCAATATCCTATAAAGGATGCCGTCATGAGTTCAAGCCCCCTTCCTGAGACTTGACAGAGCCTCTCTCCCTCCACTGCTCAGTGGACTGAGTCTGTTTCTCCAGCTGAGTAAGAGGAAGGCTCCCCCGTGCCTGAGGATGGCTAGCAAAGGAGGACCCTGGGTGCCTGGGTTACATCTACGGCTTGCTGTTTCTGACTCTTCTTCCTCCGTGTTCGGATAGGGTGGCCAGTTGGGGCCTGCTCAGCACTCAGGCCCCCTACATGAAGACCTAAGTTCTCATCTGCTCAGCACTCGGCCCCCTCCATGAAGACCTAAGTTCTCATCTGCTCAGCACTCAGGCCCCTCCATGAAGACCTAAGTTCTCATCTGCTCAGCACTCGGCCCCCTCCATGAAGACCTAAGTTCTCATCTGTTCAGCATTCAGCCAGCATTGTCCTGTGTATCTGTCTTCCTTTCCTTTCACTTCCCAACAACCCTAGGTTCGTCCCAGCTCTCCGGGAACAAGAAGTCAGTGTCCCTTCACACAGCCAGCAGGAGAACCCCAGACTGAAGTAAATTAGGACTCCAGCTTACGTCGTCTGTTGGTCTGTGTGTCCATCCGGCCCCCTGGTGCTTCTCAAAGCTTCACTGTTCCTCCTGGACTCCACTCGTCCCCATCTCGGTCTCCCGCCATCCTCCACACCCCCTCTCCTGGACTCCACTCATCCCCATCTCGGTCTCCCGCCATCCTCCACACCCCCTCTCCCCGAGTCGCGGTTGTCAAGTATTTCCACCGTCAGCACTTGTCGAGTGGAACTGGAAGTTCTTCCACTTGCGCAGCGAGCCGCGTGGGCAGGTGGGTAATGTCTGTTTTACTCTCTGTAATGAATCCCATCTTCTCCTCTTCGCTGTGATGGTTATTGATTCTGTCTTGACACCTTGGTTTGTTTTCCGCCAGCTCCTGCCTTCCCTTCATCTTGCTGTGGCCATTTCTCCACTCTTATCTGTAATTTCCTCTCTTGTTGCGGCTGCCTCCCTCCTGGGCAGCCGCTGCACCGAGACGGGGGCTGTGTATTAACTCTGCACTGAGGTCCGGCGGCCCTGCTCAGACAGGCGAGTTGGGGAGGTTATTACGAATGGGCAAAAGACGGCAGGAGGAGGGAGGCAGAGGCTAGGGACAGGCTTGCTTGTGCTGAAGTAGAGTCGGGGCCACTACGTAGAAACTCTCCACAAGCCCTCTCAGTTCCCACACCCAGAGAGTGATGCTCAATGGTTACATAAGGCCCTTAGCAGCCTCGCTTCATTCTGCCTCATCCCTAGCCTCAACTCTCCAAACCAGGGACTTCACACTCCAGCTGCACAGGGCTGTTCCTGTGGACATCCCCAAGCTCACAGTGTTCTCCCTGATGGTTGTGCCCTTCCCCATCTCTCATTCCACCTTTCACCTGGAAAACTCCTATTCGTTCGTCAAAGCCCAGTTCTGATCTCGTCGAGCAATCCATTCATGCCAAGCCACACTAACCTGAAGCTGACTTAAGTCTTCTCTTCATTGACCTCCTACAACTCTTCATGGTCCTTCTCTGCTTCTCTGGCTCCCTCATGCTGGATCTTCTTCACAGAGTAGAGACTAAGGAAAATGAAGGGCAGAACTGAACCAAGTCTCTGAGTCACCACAAATGTTCTCCTGCAGTAGGCTCTGGTAGACATGAATGTGCTGAGTCACAGATGTGGACCAAGGGGACATAGATGAGACTTCAGCCAGGGCCTGGAAGCCCACTAGGAGCTCTGCTCCAGGGCACCTGCAGAAACTAACAGCTCATGCAGAGGCTGGCATTGTTTGGGGCTGGATCCTACAGCCAGAGGGAAGAGTGACCAGTTCTGAGTCCTTTGTAAGTTCCAAGAGCCTGTGGCAGACAGCGTTAGATGGAGGTACTAAGAAAGAACTTGATCCCTCAGTCCCTAAAGTCAAAATCCAGCAAGTCTCCTAGCTCTACTTCTGGAACAAGACCCTCAGGCCTGGGGTCTGCCTCCACTATTTCCAGTCTCCTTCCATTGTCCTGACACTTCTTTCATCCCCCACCCACAGCCTCTGCAACCTCACTGGGCCTCTGCCCAGTGGAGTCTTCCTGGAAGTGTGTTGCAGTTGTCTGGAGGCCTTGGTGTTGCATGCATGGAGGTGAACTTGTAGTTATCAGGGTCCCCCTCCCCCCGCCTTGAAGATAGAAGGTTTGGAATCTGGGATCCTGGAGTACTTCAGGGCACAGTCACCACACCTGTGCCTGCTCCCAGTTCCTGGGACCTCTGTGGGTGGCTACAGAAGCTAGTGAATCTCTTTCTCCCAGCCAGGGGCCCCAGAAGGTAGAAGACATATGTAAGAGAACTGTGGGTTCCTCTAGGTACTGGAACGGGAGGGCCCTGGGCAGAAGAGGTGGCTGCCCTCACAAGGGCAGGCAGGGCATCACAGGGCATGTATCCCGTGTAGCAGACAACAAAGCTGAGGCTAAAAAGGGTGGCATTCAGTCCCAGGTCTCTGTACCACTAGAATCAGGCATGAGGTTCCACATCGGGGATGACAAAATGCGTGGGAAGGCATCAGGAAAAAGGCTTCCAGTAAGACTGGAAAGAGCACCCATCTTATAGTCAAAAGGAGGCTGGTGACCTAATGTCATCTCTAAGGCCACAACCCAACGATCTAACTTACTTAGGCCCCATCTCTTACAGGTTTACCACCTCTCAATTACATCACAGTCTGGGGACCAAGCCATCAACATGTAAGTGGCACTAATGTTTCCAGAACCTCCCATGCAGAGCCCAGGCTGAGGAGTGGTTAGTCCCTGGGTTCTACTGGGGTTTCCTTGTCTAGTACAAGAAAGCTTCAGGCTGGACACTGAAGCCAGATCCCCTTGGCCTGGGAATGCCTTTGTCAAGATCTTTTCTCTTAGTGAGGGACAAGGACTCAAATGTTCCCAGGGTCTCAGTCAAACACCTGCCCACTGCTGCCGCTCCGGGGTGAGAGAGAGTGAGGTGACATTGTCCCTCAGACCTCGTCTGGGGAAAAGTCTCACTAGGTCTCTAATGAAGACAAATCCCACGCCGAAGGTTGTCAATGGATACAGATGAGCCAGCAGTGCTGTCGGGTGGATGGATGCCCTTCTCCAGATCTACAGCCAATGGCATATGGATGCCTGCCTCTGCCAACACCCGGCTACCTTCCCCAGACATGTCCTCCAAAGGCCAGTGGCTCTCCCTGGGGAACTCACCTTCAAGAGGCTCTGCCCACTGATTCCTGGTCTAGCTGGAACCCTAAGGCATGGCTTGGGCCACTATGCCACCCACTGTAATACCAAACTTGAAGGCGCACATGGGCTGGTCCTCGGTCTGCACCCTGCATGCCATTAAGTTCCTATGGTTTCCACCAGGCAGAGAAGACAAACCTCATTATTTTGACCCCCTTGCTCTCAGAAGGAGACTCTTGTAGACTAGTAAGTTTGGTTCTTAGTTTCAAGGCTCCCTTAGAAAGAAATCATCCAGCATGCCCCTTGCCTCCTGGTTGGTCGGTCACTGTTCCAGTCAGCTCTCTATTCCTGTGATAAACACCACAACCAAAAGCAACTTCCTGAGGTCAAGGATTATTTGGCTCCCAATCCTTGGGGGAAGTCAGGGCAGGAACTCAAACAGGAGCAGAGGCAGGAACCATGGAGAGAAGCTGCTTAGTGGTTGGTTCTCAGGCTTAAGTTCAACTATCCTTCTTAAAGCTCCCAGGACCACCTACCCCAGGGGTGGCCCCACCCACAGTGACCTGGGCCCTCCCACCTCCATCAACACTCAAGACAATGCCTTACAGACATGCCTGCAGGCCAGTCTGATGAGGACCATTTCCTAAGCTGACTCCCCTCTTCCCAGGTGGCTGTAGTTTGTGTCCAGCTGACCAAAGCTAACAGAACCATCACAGACTTTGCGTCAGCCTTTAAGTGATGAAGTCTGTGTTTGTCTTGTGACAGGGGAGTTCTGGGTACACAAAGACTCTACCTCAGCTCCTCGGGAGAAGATGCTCTTCTCCAGTCGTGGGCCCTTTCAGAACAAAGAGGCACCCCCTTCGTCTCACAGTAGAAAGAAAGCTCACTGCTTCTCTTCTACACCCAGTCTCCCCAACAGTACCGTTCTCAACAGCACACGCCTAAGCTGCGCGTGTTCCCTGGCACCGTGCTCAACACCTGCCTCCTTATGGATCCTCTTGTTTCTTTGCTTTACAGCCACCCCGACCAATGCATTCTTTTTCCTTGCTCAGATTTGTCCACACTGCTGTCCAGCATCCAGCTTGTCTCGCTAGCCCTTTGCCCTTCTAGAGGGACAGCAGGGCTTCCCGGAAGTTTGTTCTTTGACATCTCCCATCATCGCACCTGTGTCTCTGGAAACACATGGAGCCTAGGCCAATGGTCCTGGAAAAGTCCAAGGTCACTGCTGGCCTTGTTTTCAAAAGTGTCTGGGGAAGGACCGTCCCTCAGTCTGGACTGTCTCCACCACTGTCTGCAATCCCTGTGGATCATCGATGCATAGTTCGGCCTCACAGTGGGGACCTGGACAGGACAAAAGGCTTGCTTTGTGGGGTGGGGAATCCTGGTCACGTCCAGCATCACATCTCTGCAGCTCAATTTCATCCTCTGAAAAGTGGAGTCTTCCCACTGCACAGAGCACTATGGCTGGGCATAGCAAGAGTGGTTCTGGGACTATGTGTAGCCATGGTGACGGGGGTGGGAGGTTGCTGTTGGGTTGAGCTTAGCCTGGCCTGCATTGAGAAGCAGAGACTGGAAGAAGCTGAGGATCCCACACGGTACAAATGCAGCTAAGAAAGCCATGCACAGGGAATGGATGAACTTTGGTTTCCCAAGCCAGACAGAATCCTGGGACCTCTGCTTCTAGTCCCCCCTTGGCCATCAGACAGGTTTGAGACCGACCCCAGTGAGGTGAGGACTGGTGTGAAGTCGCACATCCAGGTGGAAGCTTATGTGACCACCTAGTCTCAGGCTACAGTACAAGCATCAATACAAACTCTGGCAGAGGTCAGCAGAACAGGGCCATCACTGCCATCAAGAGTGGAATGGGGTTCTGTGATAATGCTTCCTAAGTTGCTCTGCCTTCCTAGGCCATTTGCTGGAGTTACTGCTTAGCTGAGACACTATGGCTCCAAGATGAGGTCATTTGAAAAGAAAGTTGCTCCCAGGTCCTTGGCTTCCGGCCTGCCTAATGTAGTGTTGTGAGACTATCCCTGGTCTAAAATTCACTTTCTCTCATAAAGGAGAGAGGGTCAGAGAAGTAACCTTGGGAGGAGAGGGACTGTGTCTCCACTCAGCGCCTCTGCTTCTTAAGAAACCCCAGGCTGCAACTCCAGGATCTGATGCCACCCAAGAAAGGGTGCCCCCCCCAGCATCCTCTTCTCCCTGCCAGCACTGTTTAATGTATAGCCCCTGGTGTCTGTGCTGTGAAAGCACGATGGCCCCCAGAGTCATGCCCGGAGCACCCCCTCTCACACTCAGGCAACAGGAAGGAATGCTCGATGGAGCTAGGACTAAACAGAGGACATCAGACATACACTCCCCGGGGCTTAGAAAATGCCATGCCAATCCTTGGTTCTAGCCAGGACAGGGAGGGGCACAGATGGCACTCTTGGGACCAAGAACAAAGGCATGATCATCAGAAAGTGACCCTTGCCTTCCATACCCAGTCACACTCCCAGTGTTTGCCCAGTGATGATCCCGCCTGGGGACAGAGCACATCTTCTGTCTTGTGATGTATGTAGGTCAAACAGTGGGTCTTATTTTGCAAACAAGGAGACCAAAGTCCAAGCTGATTAAATGGCTAGCCCAAGGTCACCCAGATGTTCAGTCTCTCTGCTGATTAGTTGTATTTCCCTCTGGTCTCATAAAAAATTTGAGGAGTTTTGTTCTAAAATACACGCCAGTAATCAAGTACTTTGAACATGCTCCTGCTGTAGATATTTGGTATTCTCTCTGTGCCTGGCATTATCCTAGATTCACAGGTAGATGAAGAGGGACTCCCAGCTTCCGTGGGGCTTTGGCCCAGCATATTGTAACCTCATGCTAAGTCCTGTGAAGGAAGTCAGGGTCTGAGACAGTTATGAGAGTCCAGAATCAAGGCTCTACAGAGCTAGCATTTAAGCAGGGTGAAGCCTTCAGGGCTCTGAACTGGGTGTGTGCACACTGCAGAAAGGCAACCAGAATGGCTAGAGGGAAGAAGACTGGATAGGACCCAGCAAGCTGAGAGGGGGGAGGGGCTCGGCCTGGAAACCCTCCAGGATAGGAGTAAGACTTCAGACCTAGCAGAAGGGAAGCCACTGGGCACTTGAGAGTGGCAAGATCCAAGGACATGCTGGAAGGACTTCTCTTGCTGCCTTAGAGAGAATAGGACACTGAGAGGCAAGAGTGGCGAGCATGGTACAAGCCAAGAAGGACATGTACGCGTTACCCCCACCAACCCCTGCCCATGGCAGACATTAATAATCAATCCTGATATTCCTTAGTGAGCACACTTGCTGCCTCAATGTGGCTCTGCAGGCAGCTACTCCCAGTCCACTGGTAATGAGGAGTTAAGCCACTTCTCATTCCACGT